GGCCCTGTGTCAGGTCTTGTCTTGTAGATTAATTCTGTTCACCTTCACACCAACCTGCTATGATTGTCCTCATTCCACAGGTGAAGAAGATGAGGCACAGAGAGGTTAAGTGACTTGTCCAAGATCACACAGCCAAGGAATAGCAGAGCCCCTGAATCCATACAGCCACCCTCTGAGGTAGGCACTCTTACTTGCCATATCTAAAGAGGAGACTGGGCCAGGCTGCACTTCAGAGGACGTGGGGCTAGCCGGTGGAATCGGTGGGGTCTCTGGACTGGCTCTGCCACGTCAAAGGTTTTCTTTAAGATCACTCTGACGTCAGACTCTCAGCTAGCTGCCCCACAAAGTACTCTGTGTTACTAAAAGTACACCTTTCACAGCAGTCTTAAGGTTCGCAACAGAAGAATTTAAAGTTCCTGCAACATCCAATAACTGCAATTATTACCCATAATGGAATAGGCATAAATCCTGCACAGACTGCTGGAAATGTTTTTCCAAAGCATGGTTCAGAACTGCAAATTAGGGACTTCCATGGCAGGCCAGTGGTTATGACTCTGCGCTTCCATTGCAGGGGGCACGGGTTCGATCTCTGGTCGGGGAAATAATATCTTGCAAGCTGTGTGGCCAAAAAAAAAGAACTGCAAATTGTTCCTAGAGATCATGTTGGAAGTTATTAATATCCGCTACTTGGAACATAAGATGACCTTTCAGAATGAATATTGGTATTGTTGTTGTAAAATTGAAATCAGGCATTTAAAATCCTATGAAAACGCCAATAGTTGAGGAAATAATGAAGGTGACTCTGTCCCTTCCTGTTATTCACACGCTTCAAGTGAAGAGGCAAGGCTTCCGCGTTGAGGGCATCGCTACCGCAGAGGGTCGCAGTCTTTCACTACTACCTTACAACACACACAGGTAGTTCCCGTGGGGTAAATGGATTTACCCAACTGTGTTTGAAAACTGGAGGATGCTTCAGAGGTAGAGAACAAACGTATGGACACCAAGGGGGGAAAGTGGCAGGGGTAGGTGGGGGTGGGATGAATTGGGAGACTGGGATTGACATCTGTACACTAATATGTACAAAATGGATAACTAATAAGAACCTGCTGTATAAAAAAATAAATAAAATACAATTCAAAAAACAAACAACTGGAGGATGCTTCTGATCATTCTTTCTGAGAACATTTGGGAAATTAAAATGTACTGAGCCTTCCTATTTGTCTTTGAGTTAAAAATGTAAGAGGATTATGGATTGTACATGGCAGTTGGCTTGATAGCATCTGACTTGCAGATGTAAAAACAGTTGAATTCTAATGTATCATTTATGATAGAGAATATAAATGTATTGATGAGTTCTTTTTATCATTTAGGTTGTTTTTGAATTTCAAATTCATGTATCCATATAAAATTTAACACCAGAGCCCAAAATTGGCTTTTTAGATCCAGCCGTTATGTGTAAAATTGATATCCTACACCAAAGTGTTTTAACTATGATCTTGCAGAATCCAACACTTGTAATGGTGAGAATTGAAAATAAAGTAGACGCCTCTTTGGCTGAAAAATAAAGAAAGAAAGGGCTTCCCTGGTGGCGCAGTCGTTGAGAGTCCGCCTGCCGATGCAGGGCACGCGGGTTCGTGCCCCGCTCCGGGAAGATCCCACATGCCGCGGAGCGGCTGGGCCCGTGAGCCATGGCCGCTGAGCCTGCGCGTCCGGAGCCTGTGCTCCGCGACGGGAGAGGCCACAACAGCGAGAGGCCCGCGTATCGCAAAAAAAAAAAATAAGAAGAAAGAAAAAAAGAAAGAAAGACAGAGGAGGAAACTGAAGCTCAGAGAGGAGAAATCCCTCACCCAAGACCACAGTCAACAAGGCAGTCAGCATTTGAACTTGATTCTA